TTGTTAGTTTCTTATCATGGATCACGAGTTGCCCAGTCATCTAAAGGCGCCGTAATTTGTTGTGCAGAACATGGATCTAGATGTTCGGAACATATTGGTTCTAAACACATATTAGTAACATATGTTAAGGGAGCTTTCTAACCGCAATACATTCTGGTACAAGGAAGGTTCAGAGGTTTGTGTATAGAATCTAAGACAAACTGCGTTTACTGAACAGTTGTTGCATTCTGCGTTAAGACACAAACTGCGTTCATTGGACAATGCCCGTATGCATTTTAAGACACAAACTGCGTTTACTGAACAGTTGTTGCATTCTGCGTTAAGACACAAACTGCGTTCATTGGACAATGCCCGTATGCATTTTAAGACACAAACTGCGTTTACTGAACAGTTGTTCCATTCTACGTTAAGACACAAACTGCGTTTACTGAACAGTTGTTGCATTCTACGTTAAGACACAAACTGCGTTTACTGAACAGTTGTATTCCACGTTAAGACACAAACTGCGTTCATTGGACAATGCCCGTATGCATTTTAAGACACAAACTGCGTTTACTGAACAGTTGTTCCATTCTACGTTAAGACACAAACTGCGTTTACTGAACAGTTGTTGCATTCTACGTTAAGACACAAACTGCGTTTTCTGAACAGTTGTTGTATTCTACGTTAAGACACAAACTGCGTTTACTGAACAGTTGTTGCATTCTACGTTAAGACACACACTACTGAACACTGGCTATATGCCCCTGTGTACCTCCATCTACAGTGACTGCGGTTTAGTTGCAACAGGACAAATATGAATTTCACAATGAAAATTTACGATGACCTGATAAAGACAGGAACTGATATTTGGATTATTTCAAAGATATGATCTACCATCCCAAAAGCAACAGTAACTATTTTGATTTACGATATCTGAATGCCTTTTCCGCAGTAGTTTGAAGTTATTTGGGAATCATTATTTGTTTTACGCGTCATCTATTACTAAAGAGACGCTATTATCTGGCTTAATTAGCCGAGTGATATTGCTGTGAGATGACGATATAGTGGAGATAAATGGCAACCTGGGACAAACATCAGACACCGAGGATTCGGCAATATATTTATAACCGTAGCGTTATTGGTTTAAATCTCACGCTTGGGCGACCATTTAGCGCTTGTTGAAAATATTGCATTGAAAATGATTATGGAAAGCACTTAATGTGCCTTGGTTTCTGGCGTTATAGAGTTTCCGCATGATTTTTAACATTAATTGTTTGTGACAAGATTATGTACATTCAAGTAGCCTTGAATGTTTTGTTCAGTAAAATCGTCGAGACACATCATTTATCATAGACAGTTTGCGTAATGCTACCTACTCATCTTGTATAACGTTTTGCAGTCAATGTGGACACCCAATAGCTACTTCCGTCGCTTCAACAGTTGGAATGATGAACTAGTAACCAGTTTATCCTCTATAGAAGGATAGAGTGAATGTTGTTTAACAAAGCCGTTAGATCAAAGTCCAGTCACAGTACTAGTACTGGCTCTTTTTCAATACCTTCGGGACAGTTTGGAAACAGGGACTGTTAGCTACCCAAAGGAACCTAATCTGGAACTGAGGATCTATAAGCTATTACTTGAAGCAATACTCCCAGGTGATTCTGTTAGCTACGTGTACCTGGGTAGTTTTAGTTGCAGACACATTTAGCTTGTTGTATTAATGGTCGCAGACATTTGTAGCTCGTGGCATTATTGCTCGCAGACACTGTTAGCTTGTAGTGCTATCGGTCACAGACACTTGGGTGGTGGTATTGTGGCAAGGTTCGAACTGCTTATTGGACCATGTGGTAATGCTCATTATATCATAAGACCCGTCCACCCATCTAGATAGCATTTCTGCTGCCCGAGACATCAGCGTGCTGGCCATTGCTAAACAAATCCGATGCGTGCTCTTCCGATAAATGTCACCAACCACTCGAATCAATGACAGATACCGCCTTTCTAGGAAAATACAATCTCCAAAAAACAGACAGTTCCAGCTGCTCAGCTTCTCTGTAAATTGATAGTTGAAAAAATGGCTTCAAAGAGTTTGTTATTTCGTCTCGTCTCGCACTTGTTGCTGGGCCGGAGCTCTGGCAAGCTTCTGTTCCAGTGTTAGATTGATTTCCGTGGAGTCCAACACTAAGTTGACAGATGATGGAATACATAAGGTCCTGGATCATCGATTTCCAACACACGAAGAAAACTGAATCTGAGGCCTACACGAAATATGATTTCTTATATCGTCATACATTTCGGAGTCCAAAATTAACTGTCAAAGACAGCAACTTACCATTCGTATCATGACCAAGATAAATGGGGACTGGGGACTCCGCCTTCACGAAGTACCATTTTGTCTGTTAGCAGAAATTACGTTTCGCACAAGTTGTCATTAATACACACCGTGCAAGTCTGAAATACACGTCTGTTTTATACCAGGCTGCTGGTCAGGTATAAACCAGGACCAAGTCAAATAAGGTTTTCATTTCAGGACTGAGGTGAGGTGAAATGGGGTTTAACGTCGTACTTGAGAATATTTCGCTCATATGACGACGTGCATGCGTGTGTATGTATGTGTGGTTACTTGTACTAGCCCAGATTTAAGCTGGTTTTATAGTGCTAGCCCACTGAGATACCATGCCGCAGTGAAGCATGAATACCCCACTCAGACACATTATAGGCTACTGACTCCGAGCCGACCAGTCCTTGTTGTAACCATTTATGCCGAGCGCCAAGCAGAGACCAACAAGTACCATATTTTAACGTCTTTTGGTTTGACACGGCCGGGGAGGACGCTCTAACCACTACACCACGGAGGCGGTCTCATTTCAGGACTGAGAGAACATCAGCTGTGAGAGAGGACGAAATGAACTTCTTGAAATAGCACTGGTAAACGGTTGGTCACATTCAACAAAGGTTGGAGCCGTTGACAAATCACATCTTCCAGAACCAGTTCTTAAGCACAGAAAGGGTAGCCTATTGTACGGCTCTAGTGACAGTATTACTCCTTGATGCTCTGATTCATGCTTGACCAGTTCGTCACTGTATCCACAACTCTGGACTCTTCAATCCTTACAAGTACTTGAGATCGTGCAACGACCACGCTCCCATCCTGTAAGGTAATCTAAGAGCTAACAACTTAAGAAAACCTTCAAAACCAATCAAATACTGTGAGTGATTCAGAGGGCAAAGAAGCCTGTCATCATAAATACTGTAATTTGCCGGAGACAATAACATAAACTCGTGTTCAATGCCCGCCACGAGCTGCACGGACTTCTGCTGCGCTTATAGGTCACATGACACGCGCATGCGGCATGACCATGCATAATTACAACGCGAAACTTTCAGATCCAAGCCCGGACGTGGTCCCAGTTGAATCGTGGGTTGACATAGAAGCACCGGTCGTACAATAAGGACAATTTGTCGGAACAAACAGGAAATTGACTGGCGAGCGTTCAGTCCTATATAGCTTCCAGGCATGTCCGTGGCAGCACGGCAATCTCAAGCTTGCGAAGTCTTTGTTACGCTGCCTTCTTCGATAACAGCTGGACATCCCCGAGTCGCCGAGATTCCCCCTACATCGTAACATTGGATGAACAAGGCCTGTTTCAATGGCGACATCAGCATTAGAGTATATAATAGTAGTATTTAATAGTAATTTGGACGTGAAAATTTGTAAAGCCTGTCATCTGAAGTTACCGTTACATACACAAATCAGCGCTGAATTTTGTTTCAAGGATATTCAAAGGACGGAAGGAAATATGACTAGTGCATTCTTTTTTGGTTTTTATTTGATTGGGCCCTCTGTTTTTCTTCGACTGCGCGTCGAATATATCACATGCTACATGCTCCAATTAAGCAGCGACCCAGTACGACAGACATCTTGGAATTGTTCTCTCAACCCACACCACTTGTATAGTTTAAACGACGCACTGACTACATGTGTGTGATATGCATATGTTAAGTTAAATATCATATGATTATTTGCACATTCCTACAGGCAAGAGGTCAGGTTTTGGTTGGAAGTGACAACATCAAGTCAGAAATATAATTCTGTATGAGCAGAAACCTACATGTCAGGGGCGGTGGGGTAGCCTAGTGGTTAAAGCGTTGGCTCGTCACGCCCAAGACCCGGGTTCGAATCCCCACATGGGCACAATGTGTGAAGCCCATTTCTGGTGTCCCCCACCGTGATGTTGCTGGAATATTGCTAAAAGCGGCGTAAAACCAAACTCATTGTCACTGTGTTTCCTTCATCAAGTCGTGTAGCCTCAGTCCTAATGTCAGCCTGGGCGTGCGCCACGCTGGCCACAACAACAGACGTCTTCAACGGTTTAATTGATGTGGCTGTTCTATTGCTGTATTGTATTTTAAACATGTAAGCCCATATTCCAGCCCCCCAGACAGTGAAACTAACCACCAGCATTATCATTGTAGGCACATATTATATTCATCGCAATGGCGGTAAATGTCAAATCTATTCCCCTGACTTCACCTTTCACGGCATGGTGATTATCTCCCCTTTGTCCGCTAGGCCAGGTAAACAACATGAGTTGACATGCTGGAGAAGGCTGTGTCTGGTTCATGGTCGGTACAGTGATCGACAGGCGGTTGAAAGAAGAGCTCGCCCAGATGAGCCAGGTTTAAAACATTTAGTACGAATGGTTGGGATATTGACACTGGATATGTTTAATGAAACAGCGATGGCGATCGATCGTCATATGACGCCGTGAATGGAGGCTGGGGATAACATTTGAATACACAATATCATGGACGGTTAATCGATTATAGGAATGTATGTGGCTTGTCAAGGGTTGTTTACGTTGTTGTTTGGTTTTCATAGATTTTCTATATGTGTCTAGTATTGTTTGCATTTCGTCTGGCTTTTGCACTCTATGACAGTCTGGACTGCTTCAAAACTGCTGATATTCATAGCTACGAATCTATAATCCCTATAGGCGACAACGGAGTTCACATAGATGTTTATCATAGTGTCGTTGGTCTTGGTTTTCGGCAAAGACTATTTTCAAGGCCATGTGCCACGTAATGCAAATGAACCTGTCAAAACACTCAAAAATGCAGATCTACCTCTCGTTGTAGAGCTAGCCATCCATGTAGCAAGTCTTGTTGAGCTACCCATCCATGTAGCAAGTATTGTTGAGTTACCCGTCCATGTAGCAAGAATTGTTGAGCTACCCATCCATGTAGCAAGGATTGTTGAGTTACCCATCCATGTAGCAAGTATTGTTGAGCTACCCATCCATGTAGCAAGTATTGTTGAGTTATCCGTCCATGTAGCAAGTATTGTTGAGCTACCCATCCATGTAGCAAGTAGTGTTCAGCTACCTGTCCACGTAGCAAGTATTGTTGAGCTGCCCGTCCATGTAGCAAGAATTGTTGAGCTACCCATCCATGTAGCAAGGATTGTTGAGTTACCCATCCATGTAGCAAGTATTGTTGAGCTACCCATCCATGTAGCAAGTATTGTTGAGTTATCCGTCCATGTAGCAAGTATTGTTGAGCTACCCATCCATGTAGCAAGTAGTGTTCAGCTACCTGTCCACGTAGCAAGTATTGTTGAGCTGCCCGTCCATGTAGCAAGTATTGTTGAGCTGCCCGTCCATGTAGCAAGGATTGTTGAGTTACCCATCCATGTAGCAAAAATTGTTGAGCTACCCATCCATGTAGCAAGTATTGTTGAGTTATCCGTCCATGTAGCAAGTATTGTTGAGCTACCCATCCATGTAGCAAGTAGTGTTCAGCTACCTGTCCACGTAGCAAGTATTGTTGAGCTGCCCGTCCATGTAGCAAGAATTGTTGAGCTACCCATCCATGTAGCAAGGATTGTTGAGTTACCCATCCATGTAGCAAGTATTGTTGAGCTACCCATCCATGTAGCAAGTATTGTTGAGTTATCCGTCCATGTAGCAAGTATTGTTGAGCTACCCATCCATGTAGCAAGTAGTGTTCAGCTACCTGTCCACGTAGCAAGTATTGTTGAGCTGCCCGTCCATGTAGCAAGTATTGTTGAGCTGCCCGTCCATGTAGCAAGTTTTGTTGAGCTGCCCGTCCATGTAGCAAGTATTGTTGAGCTACCCGTCCATGTAGCAAGTATTGTTGAGCTGCCCGTCCATGTAGCAAGTATTGTTGAGCTGTCCGTCCATGTAGCGAGTATTGTTGAGCTGCCCGTCCATGTTTGAAGTATTGTTGAGCTACCCGTCCATGTAGCAAGTATTGTTGAGCTGCCCGTCCATGTTGCAAGTATTGTTGAGCTGCCCGTCCATGTTGCACGTATTGTTGAGCTGTCCGTCCATGTAGCATGTATTGTTGAGCTGCCCGTCCATGTAGCAAGTATTGTTGAGCTGTCCGTCCATGTAGCAAGTATTGTTGAGCTGTCCGTCCATGTAGCAGGTATTGTTGAGTTGCCCGTCTATGTAGCAAGTATTGTTGAGCTGCCCGTCCATGTAGTAAGTATTGTTGAGCTACCCGTCCATGCAGCTTGCTTCATGTAGATGTTTCGCATTGCAGAATGAGTATGGTAAAAGTGAAAATAGTGTGGATCCAGGTTAGATCCTAGTTAACTAACCTGACCCTTGTCCCAGTCTTCAGTAAGACGATGTGGAACATCAGTATGTACGGAGCTGGGTTGAATATTTCAGTCAGCTGAAGGACTGTTTTCCCTGCTTCTTTAATGTAAACGTTATGTAATATCTGCATTGTAGATGTACGCCTTGTCCAATATCTGTCGTCATTAAAACGAGATTTACGCTGAAACGTTGCTTCCGACAAGGTTACTGAAGGGTGCAGCCTGAGTAGCATGTTTACGGACATTGACCCCTCCCTTTTAGGGGTGTAGGTTCAAGCATGGCGTGGGCAAGGACGGGAACTGAGGTCTGGCCTAGCAGGTCATAACTTGTGACTGGCGATGCCTAAATCAGCCAAATATTATACATCACCAGCGATAAAGTAGGGAGATGTAATAAAGCCGAGATTCGTATTGGTTTAAACATAAAATATAGAACCTAACGATATAATAAGCCATTACATCGATTTGTGCTGGCGGGGTTTGAGTGATGGGATTGGTGTAGGTTAGTCCCAGTTTAGTTTCCAGGCTTATGGAACTGCCTCGACATGATTGCATAGATCCTTGATATCATCACATGCAGACGTGACAACCTATTATTATATTGGAATAAACCTAAACGAATGTATCTACAATAACGTTGTATGAAAGACAAATTCCACATTGGTTTCCCTTGCATTAAGGTTTTGGTTTTTATCATGTTTCAGTTTCTTCTGTGACCAGGCCCTATCTCAGTTCTATTTGCATAATCTTAAGGATTCTGGCTGTATCATGTGCATGTGTTTACGGAATATATCAGGTGTTAATGTGCAGATCAGGTGTTCGTGAAATGCTGAGTGTTTGTTGTCGCACCGATGCTACTCGCCATAAACACATGCAAAGGTAGGGCAATTGTTTAGATGTTTGACACACTAAGCTTTCTGCGTAGATCTGAATACGAAACAGATCTAGATGATCTGGTATCACTTGTCTCCTTAATTTTCTAGATAGGTAATTCAGTTGAACAGTAATGTTTATGTCACCCTTATTGAACGATATCAGATCATCGATTTACCTGAAACTTAAACTAAGTTTGTTGTCAGATCACCTTGGATTATGTTTGCCAATCAGAGAAGACATGTTGATGCATATTTACAAAGAAGCAAATTAGCAAAGATGTAAGCACTCTCTCCCAACTTCGTCTGGAAGGTGTCCCAGCAGTTGACATGCTGTCTTTCAAGTATACTTCACTTGTCTCAGACCTTTTTCTATGAATGTGAAGAACGACCTCCTTTGATTGTATTAAGGATTATGGTTAATCTTACTTAGAGAGGGACCTCGATTTCTCTCCCTCTCTCAGTGGAAGCTATTCTGTTCAGTCGAAGCTATCTATAAACCGTACATGCAGGTCATGCTGGCTTTGCTGGGACAGTTCTGTTCCCTGTTTAGCAGTTTGTGCATTCTACCAGTGACATCAAGCACTGACTTAACCAACACCGGAAGCCACTCAACACTCTCATCTAGCCCTCATCTGGACATACACTTCCACAGCATCCATTATGGTCTTAAAGCTGTGGTCCCAATCGGTAGCAGGCTCTTCGTGATATATTTGAATAACTGACGAAGGTTGTTCTTGTCAACAATTAAGAAGTCCTGATTTAGTAGAGTCTGTTTCTGGTTTGGCGGAACGTTTCAAATCAATATGGAGAGCTACACTCTCCCGTCGATACTGGGGACTCTCAATTTGGAGATAGCCTTCCATCAGCAAAAGTTACTGCGAATCGTTTGATTTCTTTCAACGACACAGAGTATGTTTTTTTGTCTGTCTTTGTCCAGTCCCACTGGCTCCTGGAAGGGTGGAAACACCTATTCCAAATCAATGGTATTGGCCTCCGCCCTTTCGTGGCCATGGATAAGGAGATGCTGGCTGGCTAGAGCATTAGGGGGCTGCATCTATATAACATTACTGTACACAGCATTCGATCTAACGATTTTTCCTTTTACATCCTATAAGACCGACTACATTTAAGTCTAGTACATGGGTTGTATATTTTCTTTAATGTCCTAACTTTCATCCAAAGGGCAGTCTTAACGGCCCGTATGTACGTTTGTAGTAGACAAGAAATCCTTCTAACTGTTATGTCCTATGGTAGAATGTGTGTTTAGAGGGATGAGTGTAAAGACTGCCATTGTGTTGGACTCCAGGCCTGTAATGATGGTTATTACCGCCATGGTTCCGGGAATAGAGCCACGAGGTCGTGACTGCCAGGCAGTAAAGTGCCAGTACACCATTCTACCTGACAACAAAATGAACTTGCAGTTAGACATGTCTTTACTTTGACAATAGCCTCATGGCTCTACTGTCATCTCCGAGGACAGGACTTTAATACAATGACGTCAGAGTCATTTTAGTTTTGTTAAATGGCCACATGAATGAACGAGATGATTACTCATGTAGACATTTATCATATAATTGACGTCAACGCATGTAAACTAGATTGACATGAAACAAACATTATCTTTATCTACGCAATAGCATGTGGCCAAATCCTGATTGTTCAGTCAGGTCTTATGCCTGTTTATGTTATATATTGTTATATAGGGATATACTGTTACAAATATTCAAGTTATCAAAGGATCTGAATATGAGCATCTGGCAGTGAGTTATCCAGCAGCACCCAGTGCCACTGCCACAACTGGGTACAATGTGTGAAGCCCATGTCTGGTGTCCCCCGCCGTGATACTGCTGGAATATTGCTAAGAACGGTGTAAAACCCAACTCACTCACTCACTCACTCACTGTCACACCATAATTTCCAAGACAAGAACGAAAGTAGCTAGACTGTGGAACGTTGAGTGATGTGTAAAGTAGTTCGATGGGGGTCAGTGATGATGGCAACACAACAACCATGAGTGAGTGAGTGAGTTTGGTTTTTCGCCGCTTTTAGCAATATTCCAGCAATATCACGGCTGGGGACACCAGAAATGGGCTTCACACATTGCACCCATGTGAGGAATCGAACCGGGTCTTCAGCGTGACGACCGAACGCTTTACACAAGAACCGTACAAAGAGAATATTTCAGTGAGAAGGAAGAGGACGATCCTGTTTAATGCCACTTCGGATTATAATTTTGTGATTACTCTAGTAATCATAGAGTTTTCTGAATTCTCTTCCAACTAGTGTTATATAAGACCTGTACAGAAGTGGGGCGGTGGGGTAGCCTAGTAGTTAAGGCGTTCGCTCGTCACGCCGAAGACCCGGGTTCGATTCCCCACATGGGTACAATGTGTCAAGCCCATTTATGGTGTCCCCCGCCGTGATATTGCTGGAATATTGCTAAAAGCGGCGTAAAACCTAACTCACTCACTCACTGTACAAAAGTCACCAAATATATCGTTTCCATTGAATAGTAACTACCAAATTTCCGACATTCGCCACAAAGAGACAAGAAATGTTTTACAGGACAGATGCACCTTATCTTCCTGTGGAGCCCTAATACTAAAAGGGGCTTCGCTCAGATAGGCTACCAAAGAAAACAATTTCCTTTGGGGGTAGATTTCCTAATAAAATCACAAAACTGAGATAATTATAACCCATGAAATGTAGGGCTGTGCATATTTCAAGCTGATGGTCATATAACAGTTTTCATTGATAAAGGCCCGGCCTTTGATGTAAGGTCGTGAAAAGGTCTAGTCCACAACATGAAGGCTCGCCCCGAGATACTGTTATAGGCCTATGTTGTCACTGACGACCCTCGGGGGCTTCTTCCTGGTCTTAATGTCTAATAACCTGTCTCTGACAACCAGCCTCACGAGCAATAATATTTTATTGTTTCCCTTTATGGTGTGCACGCGCCACGTGGCCTCCAGACAGACCTGTGTTTGTAAACATGGTAGGATATAGTCACACTCCACTCGGCATGATCGTGTGGAAGACGTTCGTGTAGTACATGTATTTGTCGGTTTGCGGATTCAACCGGATTAAAAATCTACAATCAGAAAATTACACACCACAGTTACTGAAACCACACAATCAAACAACACTTACGAGTGGATAGTGAACTTTATAGATAGAAACTACACACCACAGTTACTGAAACCTCTCAATCAAACAACAGTTACGAGTGGATAGTGAAATTTATAGATAGAAACTACACACCACAGTTACTGATACCTCACAATCAAACAACACTTACGAGTGGATAGTGAAATTTATAGATAGAAACTACACACCACAGTTACTGATACCTCTCAATCAAACAACAGTTACGAGTGGATAGTGAAATTTATAGATAGAAACTACACACCACAGTTACTGATACCTCACAATCAAACAACAGTTACGAGTGGATAGTGAAATTTATAGATAGAAACTACACACCACAGTTACTGATACCTCACAGTCAAACAACATGTACACTTACGAGTGGATAGTGAAATTTATAGATAGAAACTACACACCACAGTTACTGATACCTCTCAATCAAACAACAGTTACGAGTGGATAGTGAAATTTATAGATAGAAACTACACACCACAGTTACTGATACCTCACAATAAAAAAACAGTTTATGTTCCTGTGACGCGTCAGTCTGTCATGAGCGGATAGTGAAATGTACTCAACATCAAACAGATAA